GTTATTCTGTTTAAAGAATTTTCATAGGACTTTCCTCCAAGGGACTTTCTAGGGACCTTGAAAATAGGGGCGTGGTTTTTTTTTTTTTTTTTTAACTAAGAATCCTTTCTCTTTTTAACGTCAACAATGATCATATACAGCAAGAACTAGAAATGAGAGGAGCTAGAAAAGAGGCAAATCTCAGAGGAAACTAATCACCACACAGCCAAGACACAGGAGGGAGGTGAAAGGCTGCCCTCTCTGTCTCTGGTGTCCAGATGTCTCCTTAAACCTTTCTTTTCCTCTGAGGAAGGCTAACTCCTCCAGACCCCAGGTGCTGTCAGCTTTGGGGAGTCAAACCGCATTGTTTTCTTAACATGCTCTTCACAGAAGGTCTCAGGGGTGCTGGTTTCCTTGAACAGCCAGGACGCACTGCTGAGACTTGCAGGGCCGACGTTCCAAAACTTCAGTCTCGCGCCTGTGTGCAGATGCAGGCAGAGCACCTCTGGACCATCCATTCGGGCTCCGCTAATTAAGAGGGTTGAGGCTGTTGGACCCTGGAGGGGAAGATTATCCGGGGAAACCTTGGCAACCTGGCAAGGAACAATGGTGACTCAGAAAGGGACTCTGCCTTCACAGGGCACGACCTGCTTTGTTGACTAAATGATCTTCTGGCTCAGTTTTCTTCTAGCCAGGGTGGAATTTAAGAATCCAGTGCCCTTCCCAGATTTGAGAGCCGGGAAGTACATTTCTCAGGTTCCTACTTTTACTGTGAGCCCGGCACCTACAATGTGTGACTTGATGGATTTGCTGCCTTCGTCTTCTCCGAGGTTGGTTCCCTGGTCGGCAGCCTGGTGGGGATTTGACCTGCTTTCAGCCCTCTGTGTTTCCAGATCTTAGATGACTGTAGGTGCCATGTCAAATGTAAAATCACCTTTCTTTAGCTTCCCGAGAGCATTTGCTAGTCAGATCTTAGTTAGCCCACAGCAATATAAGAAGCTTTGACTCATGAACTTACCTCTGATGTAGGCAAAGGCTGCCAGAGAGTTGCTGACAATGACTCCATCTTTCCTCAGAACATGGGGTCTGCTTGGGTCAAAGTTGATAACTATTTCATAAAAAATAAAAGCAAGACCAATTAATCAGCTGTTCACAGGAGCTTTTTGCTCCTATCCCAGAATTGCCATAATAAATACAAAGCTATGGAAATCAAAAAATGGGTTGTTATGGAAGTCTAAGCTAGGAAGGACCGTTAGTAAGTCATCCCTGAAAATCTTAAGTGATGAAAGGGATTTAGAAATACTAAAACTTGCTGTTTGCAATACCTTGAGTGCCCCTCATCCACCCCACTGCAGATACTTAATTCCGCATCCGAAAGGCGATGGTGTCTGTGATGCTCAACAAGGTCTCCCTTAGCCACAGACCTGCTCTGCTCTGGGAACCACAGATAAGACCACTGATGGAGAGAGGCAGTGCTGGGCTGCTTCTGGGCCAATGATAGTCAGGCACAGCCCAGACCTGACTTCAATACCTGCTTCAGCTGCGCCGGAGCTTAGTAAACTCCTGACGGGGCAGCTGAGGTTTCAGGGAGCCCCTGGGAAGGTGAGTAAGGGCAGAGTCTCTGTGGAAGGATAGCATAGGTCCTCAGGCTCTACTCCAGGATGCCCATGGATGGGGGCTGGAGGAGCCCTGGGAGAAAGAACAGTGGGTCTGAACTGGTCAGCGGTGGGGCTGGAGCAGTGAGCTACAGCACCACACTGTAAGGACAACAGGTACCATGAAGCCTGGGGGTGCAGGGGTGTTCTATTTGCTGGTCAAACACACTTTTCTTTTATCCTGAGGGGGAAAGACCTCTTCAAGTAACACAAGAAAGGAAATCAAACTCTGCCCGCCCAAAGTGCATTCTCTCAGATGGATGCTGGCCGGGGGCCTCTGTGCTTTCTGTCAAGACCCCCAGGGGTCTGACTTCCACTGTAGATTTGACAAAAAAAAAAAAAGAAGAAAAGAAAAGAACCTATCTTCCCCCCCCCCCCGCCCCTCCAATTTATCCCTAAGCAGAACTCTTTTTTGAAGTGATTTCTCATTTAGGAAGCAAGAGAGGAATAGAAGGAGGATTCACTCTACTTGTAGTTAAAATTCACAACAAAATGTTGGCCCCGCTCTGGAAGCCCTGGCCTCCAACAAGATGGACTCACAGCTCTAGCCCCACCCCTTCTCTACTAAAGTGCACCCCACTGACATCATCCACTGGGGTCACTGACTTTTCCTTAAAGAGAAATGCGGTAGTAAACCATAAAAATTACCATGTGCACCATCTTTCTCCTTCAAAGAAGGTTTAACATTAGCAATGGCTGGATCAATCGCCGTGAGAATGTTCTTGGGAACTAAAAGCCAGAAAGAAAGGTTTTTAAATGCTTTGTCCACATAATACAAAGTACAGTGTTAAATGTCGGTGCAATTAAGAAATCAATTTTCAAATCAGTCATGGATCACTCCTTCTGGCCAGGGACGCCCGCCTGCGTGAGCACCGAATAACCCAGAAGCGGACAATTTTAGGACCATTTTGCAGGATTAAAGAAAATAACAGGGACAACAAACGAACAAGACTCAGTGCGTCCAGGCACTCAATACACTGGTACTAAATACAGTTTAGTAACTAAGGAACAAAGGGCTGTTCACTACAAAGCAGGTGACCTTCCAACACATTACACTCGGTTGAATAAACCTGTCACCAAAGATCATTCAAGGCATGACACACTTCTAGGAAATAATCAGGAAGGCTCCATAGAGAGACAGAAGGCAGATTCAGGGGGACCTGGGACCAGGGTGGGAATGAGCACAAGGGAACTTTGCCGGTCAAGGACATGTTTTAAAATGGGCACGTGGCGATGGGCCTCCAGCCCCGGAAATTCACGAGAAATCACTGGATTGTGGTTACTTTAAACAGGTGAACTTTAAGATATACAAGTCATACTCACGCTGCTAACGCTGCATGTGAGCCCGCACGCCCGTCACCCCCTCCCCCCCCCCCCCCCACCGCCCGCGGCGGGAAGAGTCACCGCCACCAACTCAAGTCACTTGAGTTGAGACCTGGCGAGCCCTCCCAGCCCCATGCTGCTTTTCGCCCAAAGCCTTTTGCCTCCTTGACCCCATGATAAGCTGCAGAGAATTCTAGGACTCTGTCTAGAGTGAGCCTTGCAGTTTCATAAGAAAGGATTATGGAAAGAGGAGCCGGGCAGGGCAGCCCCGTCGGCTTTTCTGAAAGCCGGTGAAAGATTCTGGGGGACAGACGCTCAGAATAAGCCATCGGGGTCCCAGCAGAGGGGTGACAGGGGCCGGCCGCGCACAGCAGGCGGCGGAGAAGACGTCTGAAGCCCAAGTGCAGTCCACTGGGCGGAGGGAGAGGAAAGCAAATGTCTTTGCTGCAGCAAACTGCTCGTTTTGTTTGTTCTTCAGCTCAGCTGGTATCTGGGAGAAGTGGCAACAGGAAATGGAAATCAGGCCAAAGCAAACTGTGCAAGGTCAACTGCGCGGATCAAAAATAAAAGCCAGCAAGTCTCTTCAGCACAGCAAACCTCATTTCCCTTCTCCGAGTGCTGAACGGAATCATTTGGGGTGTCCCAGGACCAGTAGCCGGGGACATTCCTAGCCCATGACTTTCCCACGCGCAGGAGACTGGCACCAGCAGGGAGGGTCACTGTGCACCAGGTGGCCCCGGCCGAGGGGAGTGGCTACGTCCAGGGCCCCGCCCCCCGGCCAGGGGTGGCCCAGAGTATGGGGCTGATCCAGGACCATGACAGCCCCCAGAAAACCCAGCCTGCACAGTACTTTGTGATGCAACTGCTTCTCCATCATTTCTGTGCTCAAGGAGGATGAGGAGGACACCCCAATGCCTGGCAGAGAGGGCATCTCTACCAGGAGGGATGCTCCTTTCTCAAGGCCATCTCTTCGTTTGTCTTCAAAACACACCGAGGAGGGCTTGCACCTCTGCGCGGCCAGAGCGCTAACAGGTGGGGAAAGGAAGCTGGCAGGAAGGGAAGTGGGGACAGAGTTGCCTGAGGTGGGCACACCGCTCACACTGCCTGCATCCGACGTGGGCTCATGTCAGAAAACTCGCCCCTTGGCTCCCCACTTGAAAATGGCTCTGTCATCTGGAGGGTCTTTCAGGACCCTGAGGTGGCAATTGGGATCCACACTGCTGGCACATTCTTGTGGCTCCTTGTTTCAAAGGGATGCAGGGCGTGGTGCCATTACAACCACCCCACAAATCCATCCCTCTCATTGAGAGGCAGGTGTGAAACCTCCCCCAACCTCTCTATTCCTGGAAAAGCTCCTTAGGTGGGCCTGTGCTAGCCCAGGGCAGGGCTCAAGGTGACCCTGGAGGACAGCGTGGTTCTGTGACTCCTGGCAGACAGAAGACTGAGCCTTGGAGCACACAGCTCCCAGGAAGAGCCGAGGTCAGAGGTCAGGGTCACCTGCTGTGGAGCCCTGAGCGTAAGGGAAGTGGGTCAGGATTCTTCTAGGCCCACTGGTGGCAGAGACCCTGGGGGAGAGGCCGCACCAGCTGCTTCAGAGTGACGGTTCTAAGGGATTTCAGTGCCCATTAAACTCAGGCAAGGGCACCTGGAGTTATTTCTTCCTGACTAAATCTTCTATGTCAAGTTGTCAGGGGTGGGTAGGAGGGGGGGAAGAGAGGGAAGGGGAGAAGAGGGAGGGAAGGGGGAGGGGTAAGGCAGGGAGCTGGAGAAGGAGGCCCGAGCTCAGATCCTTCTGCAGACTTTAAGGAAGAAGCCTCCGAGGCCGGGTTTCACTCCTGCGAGGGCTGGTGGTGGACGCAGTGTGGTAGTAACAGCTAATGGGGTCACCCCAATGTCACCTCAGGTAAAACTCAATTAAGTAATTCATTTTAAAAAGATAAACAAATTGGCTAAGTCAGACAAAAGCAAACACTTGGGCACTGAGATCAAATGCGAGGTTCCCAAAGGAGAGGAGGGCGCGTCAGGTAGAGGTGAACGACGGCCAGTACATGCACAGGGTGGTCACACCGACCGGTGCATCTCGGAAGGCACACGGTGTTACCACGCAACTTCACTCCACTAAAAAGCTAATTCTGCTCCAGTCTGAGGCCCCGAAGATGCTAAAACAGCACTAAGCCAAGTGAAAGCCCAGTGGCGCCCGGGAGGTGCAGCCCAGGCTCTCACCCAGCGGACTCCAGCCTGAATCACTCTCCTGCCGAACAAAGCCGCTGAAAAGCTCTGCCCAGCCCAGAGGCTGCGAGGGAGCAGAGTGACGCAGCTCTAAGACACAGGGCGTGTCCTTTTCAAATTGCGAACTGATGATGCCCCAGACCCTGAGCCCTTAGGTCTGCCTAAGGTAAGCCTTACCTGGCCCCCCAAGCCTGTGCCAAGCGGTGCCCTCTGCCCCCCCTCCCCCCAGCATTCTGCAGGCTCCTCAGTCTCCCCAGCTTCAGAGGCTACTTCCCCTGGGGAGGCCTCCAGGTCCCCAGTCCCAGAGCCTGGAACGCAGCACTGCCCAGTAGCCTGCAAGCACAGGACAGCTGCCCCCCCCCATGCCACTTCCTTGCCTGCCCACTTCCGAGCCTGGTGGGTAAGAGGGTCTCACAAGGACCGGGGTTCAGCTCAAGGTGAGGCTGGCTCATGGCCCTTGAAGGCCAGTGACTTTCAGACATGCAGGAGCTCCCCTCCAGAATATTCTGCAACATGGGCGAGCTGTGGGTGACCCCTGCCCCGCAGCCTGGGCCACCTCCTCCCCACTGGCTTCCCTCTACCCTCAGAGGTGTCTCCTGGGGGGCAGAGCTAGATCTCTGGGGGACTATCTCAGCCCCTCCTGGCCTTAGTTTAGAATCAGGTCACAGGGTTTCCGAGCAGAGCCGATTAGAGGGGCACCCTGATCCCAGTCCAGGCAATTAAATACATTGCTGTTAGAAGTGGGCACGAAGAGAGCAGGATGGAAGGGTGTTGTGTTGTTAGAACCAACATGTGAACATCACTTAGGTCTGTGCGAGTGGCCATGGCTTAAGAGAAGGTGTTCGGCCAGGTCATGTGGGAGGAGAGGGGGAAAAGAGGGAGAAGAGGGGGAAGGGAGGAGGGGAAAGGAGAGGGGAGGGGGACTGGAGGGCAGGAAGGTGGCAGGAGACAGCTGGGCGGGGCACCTCATGGTTGGACAGGGCCCCTTAGTTCAAACAGGCTTGGGGCCACTCAGCAGTGTGCAGCTTCTGCGACCCAAGCTGTCTCCTTTCTAGCGCCTCCTCCTCCCTTTCTCGAGCCTGCCTCACAGTGAGAGTCACCCTCTCTTTGATGATGAGGGGCACGGGGGCGGGCATTGTCTTAGGGACTTGGGAAGGACACTCAATGCCCCCATTTTCTCCAAGGCGCCGCATCTGAAGCCGGGATGCAAACCATTCCAGTGACCTCAGCCCCTTCGCCTCCAAGGTGCCTCCCAGTTCTCCCCCACGCACCTCTGCCTTCACATCCCAGGTTCCTCCACCTGCAGCCTCTTGCTGCAGCTTAGACACCACCAGTGTCATCGCTCACAGGCCTTCCACCCCCAAGGGCTTGCACCTCGTACTTCTCTCAGGAGATCATACCCTCTTCCCTTCCCACCTCAGTCCTCACATGACTTCATCTCACCCCTATTTGGAGAAGAGGAAGGCAATGGGATAGGAGCGCCAAGCCTGTGTTCTGCCCCTGAACCTCCTTGCCCTTTCCTACTTAAGATCAAGCCTGTCCCTCTCACCTCTTGCCAGACTCCCACCCTTTTCAGCAATCCAGATCTCTCAGCATCCCCAGGGTCTTCCTACTTTCCAGATGCTTCTCATATCCATACTAGGGTTGCCACACCCACCCGCTCATCAAGCATTGTTGTCTAACTGGTCTACCCACCACTACGCATTGCGGTCTTTCAGGAGACCAGTCTCCATGACTTCCCAGCTAAAACCCTGCCTGACAGCCTTTCCTGGGACCCTAAGGCACCTGATGCCAGACCCCTCCAGGGCCATCTTCCTTCTCACCCACTCCTGTCCACTGTCCCACCCACCCAGCATCTCTGCCCACTCTGCTTGCTCACCCCCATCCCTTCCAAGATCTCAGCTGAAATTCATATTCAAGGAAGGTTCTGTTTGGAATACTTCTCCATCCACATCCAGGAGCAAAATTAGGGCCCTCTCACTACCACCCTCCTGCATGGCATCCTGCATTAGCACTTGTCACAGTGGGTGACAACTGATTCCTGGCTTCTTTGTTTAACACCTCTCTCTCTCCCCTGACTATTAGCTCCATGAGTGCAAGGACTGTGTCTTTTTTTTTTTTTTTTTTTTTTACTACCAAATGCTTGGCACCTGGCGCAACTTCTGAAATACAGCACTCTCCCAGAATGTGCTGACTGAGGGAAAGAGGGGGAAGCAACTCAAGCTAGGCCACACGACACCACCCCAGGCCTGAAAGCCTAGTTCTCCTAGTGAAGGAGTCACCACTCAGTAATTGCTCTCAACTCCTAAAGGGCACACCTGGAAATTTTTATTGGCAGGCTGAAGTCCTCCCCTACTCAGATAAAGAGTCCTAAAGTGACCAGAACTTCAGGTCTATGTAGCTGCTTGGGGACCTCGGCCAGAATGGGCTGGAGGCCAGTCACCACTGCTTCAATGTGGGAACAGCGATAAAGACTCAAAATGAACACAACAGGTTTTTTGAGAACTCACTTTGTCGAATGTCACTTCGCTGTTTTTTGATGAGAAAAACAATGTGTTCCCACCTCTGTTAAAAGGATGTTATTTCACTTAAAGTAACAGTTTCCTGGACCTGTGGTTAAGTGAGCATTTATCACACAATTCTGCTCCCTGGATACAAGTGTGGTGCTATTGCTTGGGGAAAACGTTTGTGTTGTTACTTTATTCTACCTATTGCAGCTGTGATATAGCTGTGATATAGCAGCTGTGATATAGCAGCATTTTTTAGCTCAGGACGTAGAAAGCCTGGGGTGCAAGGGAATATTACTCACTCATAAAAAATAACTAAGTACTGACACATGCTACCACATATATTAACCTTGAAAACATGTGTAAAGAATCTGGTCACAAAGAACCACATATTGTAGAACTCCATGTGAAATGTCTCCAAGAAGCGAATCCACAAAGACAGAATGAGAATTGATGATTGGGGAAGAAGGGAGGGGAGACAGATGGTTTGGAGGAAACTTTGGGATGATGAGAATGTTTTTGTAATTGTGGTAAGAGTAGCCCCATTCTGTGAATATATTGAAACCACTTATTTGTCTGCTTTTACAGGTGAACTGCAACCATATTTCAGTAAAGCTGTTATTTAAAAAAGAACAAGGGATAGGTTAGCTAGAGCATGGGGGGGGGGGGTGTTCCATGAGAACTGGCACTGATCTTTTCAGAGATGATTGTTTTTCGCTCTCCCTTTGCTTTTAGGCTTTAAAAATTAAAAAATAGTCCACTCTCGGGATTACAAAGTGGAATTCCCTAGGACTCTTGAGAAGAATTAGTTGCAGGTTCACTTTTAGGCAGTTTTGAAAGCTGGGTGGGATCTCACAGAGCAGGCATTTTGTTGTATTATTTGAAGACCCACAGCAAACGGTTATGTTGTGTAAAATCCAAAGTCATCTTAGGGTCAGCTTTTGAACGTGGGCTGAAGGCTGTGGGTGTGTAGAGACGCCGTCAGAGAACTCTATCACTCAGGGCATAAAAGCAGGACTGAAAGGTAAACTAGGAGCCAAACACTCCTGTCAACGCAAAGGGCACAGCAATAAATTTTAGAGCCTCCCAAGAACTAGATTAAATTTGCTATTCTCCATGACGTCAATTTTACTGTTTGCTTGTTCTTTTCTTACCCCTGCGCCTCCTATCTGATTGCGAAAAGGACAAATTTTAATTGAAGAAAGCCCCGGGGCTTATCCTACGTGAATGTCACCGATAAAAATAACGGGTAGGGAGGGGAAAGGAATCTTGTCCACTCCCTGTGGCGGTGTTTTAGGACCAGGGCTGCTTGGCTAAAGTCTCCTGCAGACGTTTTCTGTTCACTCGATCACACTTCCCTCAAAGGGGGCTCTTCAGCAGTCTTACCGCAGGCGTAGGTGACAGTGAGGTATTTTTTCACTCCCGGCAGACAGGGACTCCCGAAGTGGTGGTTGTTGACCATGACTTTGCACCTCTGCTTCCCGTAACACCTCCGGGAGAGTACGTGCACAGCCGAGTAGGACAGGCAGTCTGAAAAGAGGGAAGAGCAGCAAGACGTCATGTCCACGCACCCCACGTACGGGCTTTTGTGCTGTGTTATGCAAAGAAATGTGCCAAGGGGAATATGCGTCCAAGGGAGATCACTTCTCCACTGACTTCCTGTGTCACGAGAGCACCCACACACAGACCAGGCTCCCGGGCGTGGGCCAGAGGCGCCCTCGGCTTGATTCACGGCCTGCTGCTGAAGTTCTTTATTTTCCAGGGGTGGGTTGTGCACTCCCTTCGTGCACCGTCTGCAAATTGTGTGGGGTCCTGCAGATAATGTGACTCGTCTTGCACACGAATAGGCAAAATAGGTACACCCTTGAATGAAAGTTCTTATTTCTGTGAGGACCCTTAGCATGACTTGCATATCTTATTTATCCACGTATCTCCTCTGTAGGAACATCGGCGCCATGGTGGGGGCTGGTCCATAGTGGAAGCCAGTTAGTAACAATGAGAGAATGAATGAGTGAGTGAAATGAACCGCCAAACCCGCGGCCTGCCTTTCAGCAGCTGGTGCACCGCGGTGCCACCCGTGTCTATTAGCTGATTCCCACGGCAGAGGAGGCATGCACTGTGTGCTGACGGGAGGTGACCCTGCCTCAGAGGGCAAGCTGGCGCTGGAGGCAAAGCCCTCAGGGACGACCTGTGTCTACCAGTGTGAAGCGAGTGAGGGGAAGGGGCCCAGGCAAGGTCAAGACAGCACCTGGCTGTGGATCCTGGAGGTCAGGACAGACTTTCAGGCGGCATGCGGGAGGGAAGAAGGCATGAACGGGGCAGGTGCAGGTGTGGGAGAAGCACAGACAGCAGGCAAGAGGCCAGGGCGGTCTGAGAGTGCGCGGGCCTGACCCTAAGCTGGAAGAGGGTGTGGCAGGGGTGGGCCGCCCTGAAATGAGCAGGAAGAAGTCACCTGGAGGACGGAGGTGGCTCTGAGCGCTCAGCTTACACATTCTGCCACCTACAGCGCCTTGGGATGGCCGGGGACAGACTGGGCTGCCCTGGGCGAGAGAAGCAACCGCAGGCAGGGAGCCCCGTTTGAAGTGATTTTCATACACCTCTGGGAGGAGTTCAGGGCTTGAGGAGCAGGGGACAGAGGAGGAGAGGACTCGGGGGCCTCGGGCAATGTCTCCCTACAAGAGCAGCTGACGTGATGTCCCTGTGTGGGCTGACAGTAACCAACCACCCTGGGAGATGGGCTGTTGGTCATGTGTGTGTCACGTGATATTATGTATCAGGCTACTCCACAATATAAAAAGGTTGTCTGCATTACATGCATGCACATGTGTGTGTGCATACATGACTATATATGGGGAGAGAGAGAGGGAAAGGGAGAGACTGAGAGCAAAAAGAACAGTGGATGCAGGAAACAAACAGCAAAAGGAGGCTGAGAGGCAGAGAGAAGAGCAGGGTGTGAGTCTCATCTGTGAGCAGCTTCAGATTTGAAGCTACTCTCTGGGCGTCCAGCAGAGATCAAAGCGGCTTCAGCCTTAAGCCAGGGGTGGGGAGGGTGGGGGGGTTGGGGGGAGCGGGGCTGAGGTGCCTTTGCCAGGATGAGAGGGAATCAGGGAGGGTAAGCAGCTTGGAGGACAAGATGAGAAAGTCTTAAAAAATAAAACAAAACAAGCACTGCTCAGCGTCTCAGCTGGGAGGGACCTTGACAGAGAATTTTCAGATCTGGAGATGCCTGCGGGAGGCTATGCCGGGGAGGCTGTGCCTGGCCATCCCCGGGCTGTGCAGGGTGGGGGCACAGAGCAGGACCCCTGTTCACAGGGACCCCTGTTTCTTGTGCCGTCTGCCCCCTATATTTTAAAATAACCCCCCTGCATGCCCCAAACCCTCAAACTTTCTTCCTGCCTTAACTCTCCTTCAGCTAGACTTCTAGAAGGGGCCTCTATGTCCCCTCTGTGCTCCCCTCCCTCGCTCTCCCCCTCCAGCTTCAACATGCTTCTGTCCACACACGGCCTGGCAGACTCCCTCCCTCTGACTATGGTCCTTCTACTGTCCAGCCTGAGATGGGAGCCGGCCTTAATCCTTGCCCAACTCGTGAACGCTGGGTGCCTGACATCCTTGTTGAGGGGTTCTTCACTAGCCCTTGACTCCCTGGGGCCCTTCTCCCCACTCTCTGTGACTCCTCCACCCCAGAGCCCTCTGCAGACCTGCCCACCCAGAGTGCTCCCTCTGAGGCCTGCCTCTCTTCTCCACCCCCGCACTCCACCTAGGACCCCGAGAGCCAGGACCCCATCATTCCTTCCAACTCTGGCTGTTCCTTGAAGTCCCCCGTCAGCACAGACTGACCTCATTCTCTTCCCAGAAACTCCCACATCTCGTGTCTAGATGGAATTCAACACATCCTTCTACCCTCCCCAGGCAGCCAAGTGACCCAGCCTAACATGCACCTCTCCTAGTCCTGGCTCTCCATGATTGATGGGTACTGAGTCTTCCAGGGAACTCCAGCCAGAAGCCTCGGCTCTCTCCTCGTCCCAATCTGATGCCCTGGCCAGGCACCACCCACCCCCCAGGTCCCTAGCCACTGCCTCCCTTCCAACCTCAACACTAAAATGAAGGTAAGGAGACCACCTCCATTACTTCTGCAACTCTGTGACTCTGGTACTCTCACCACCAGGCATTGAGATAGCTGCTCCAGAGAAGTCTTTAAGTAGATGACTCAGAAAGAGAGCAGAAGGGGAAAATCAGCAGTGGGGTGCATGGATGTGCCAGTGGATAGGAGGTACAAGAAGGACTCAGACAGATCCAGAAGCAAGAGGAAGTGCCCAGCTTCACGCCCAGGTGCACTGCAGCACTATTCAGAGCAGCCAAGAGGTGGGTGGAGCTTAAGTGTATATCAGTGGATGAATGGACAAACAAAATGAGGTATAGGCATACCTGAATGGAATATTATACAGCCCTTAAAAGGTAGCAAATCTGATATATACACTAGAATGTGGATGAAACTTGAGGGCACAATGTGAAAATTCTATATAATTCCACTCATATGAAGTTCTTAGAGCAGTCAAGTCCATAGAAACAGAAAGAAGAACGCACACCTGAAGCCTCTATAATGTTGAAAACCATTGTTACTTCAATAAAATATCTTAAAGAGTAGAATAATGCCTGCCAAAGGCTAGGGAGGGGGAATAGGGAATTGTGGCTTAATGGGGACAGAGTTTGAATTTTGCAGGATGAGAAAGTTCTGGAGATGGAGGGTGGTGATGATTGTGCAACAATATAAATAGACATTATCACTGAACTGCACACTTAGGAATGATTAAGGTGGTAAATTGTATGTGTTATGAGTTGCTTCAACCACAATTAAAATACCATAGCTTAATTGTTAGATGATTAAACTAATAGCTTTTCATAAAGGGCTTAAAACACTGCCCACCATACAGTAAGCATGCAATAAGTAATAGTTATTATTAACAGTGGAGGAGGAGGAAGGATGGAGGAGTAGGAGAAGGTGGTAGCATGGGAGGCGGCTTTGAACCAGTAGAAGAACATGGGGTGGAGGAGCTGGAACACTAGTCATGGTCACGAAAAAGAAGGCTCAACATCCTGAAGATACTGGTTCTTCTATATGGATCTATAGACCCAACTGAATTCAAACCCTGACCTCCTGATGGACCTATTTTGAGTTCAACAGGCTCCATCTTGTCTCTCACTGCCATACTGAGACTTTTAGGTGTAAAGTAAGGTCCCGGCTCAGGTCCCCATTGGCTGCTATGGAAAACACCCACTCACTGATTTCTCCTTCCAATGATCATGAAAGAATTTCAAAACCCTGTTCCCTCCAACTGATGATAGCAAAGACACAGAAAAGCCACCTGCTGATGGTTACCAAGGACCCCACGTGGGTATTTTGATCACTAACCTGCTGGATCCTATAAACCTCCCCTCTCCTCTGACCTTGACATTTGGGTGTGGACCCAACTCAGAACCTTTGTTTTCAAATGCTGTCATGATTATATTATTGGTCTGATTATTTCTAAGTTGACACCCACTGGATTTCCATGGAACATGGCAAGCTGATTCTAAAATAAAGACCAAAAAGACCCAGGAGCCTTCTGAAGAGGACATATTAAGTGAGAGTACCTGCCCCACCAGGTATGAAGGCTCTTCATGGAGCTATGGAAATTAACACACTTGTTGTATCCTGGGTTAGAAAGAATACTGATGGAGCAGAAGTGCGAACCTGGAGACTGGGCCAGGGACATACGGGACACCCCTGTGGGGGTGGGGGCTGGGGAAGGTGCTCCATATATAGTGGAGACAATCTGGTGAGACCCCATATAAAATTCAATTCCAAATGGATCTGAGACTTATGTGAAAAGTAAAACTTTCAGAAAAAAATAACCACTTTTTTCTCATATTCAGGTGGGAAAAGATCCCTTAATTTAAAAATTAATAACTGGAGAAAAGGAACAGAAAAGACTGATACCTTAGACTATGTCAAAATTAGAACCACTGTTCAGCAAAACACACCAAAAGAAAGAGACATGCTCAATAAAAGATATTTTCAATACTTACATCAAAGGGTTTGGTACTTCTACAGAGAAACAGGAGAGAGATAAACAGTCATTTTTTTAAAAATGGGAAAAAATCATGAACAGGCACGTCAAAGAAAAGGAAGCATATCTGATATATATTCAACAAGAAATTCAATCTTTGTAGTAATCAAAGAAATGTAAATTAAGACCAAATGACCGTATCCTTTTATACCTCCTAGAGAGAGAGAGACAGTAGACCTGTACCAAGAAAAAGCTTTACACCCATGTCCACCAGAAAACATGTATAAGAAAGTTCAGAACAGCACAATTCTTAACAAAAACTTGGCAACACTCCAACATCATGTTCGTGAGACGGGATAGTCTGAAAAGTCATATGTCTGTATGGACCACAGGTACGCAGTCAGGATGAGTCTCTGAAACAACCTTGACGGGAAAAGCTGGCCCCTGAAAATCATACGTAGTTAGGTACCATGCTTATTCGAA